TATCATGGTGTCGCACCAAATGCTACCGTGGTAATACATTGTTGTTATCTTATCATGGTGTTGCACCAAATGCTACCGTGGTCATACATTGTCGTTATCATATCCTGGTATCGCACCAGATTACCGTGGTCACACATGTACATGTTGAATCGTCTGAAACGATATTGCGTGCGGCGTCCGAATAAGCAAGGTTTCACGACAATAGGAATGAACACTGTATAATAACGTGAATATGTGTTTCTAACTATATGTTCAGTATCTGTGTATGAATTCGTCAACAAACGCTTAGTCCCTACGTTGCCAGCATGTCAAAATGCAAGCACCGTCAGGTTCTGAGGACATTTGCTGTCACACAAGAAAGTTGAAACTGACGTGTATCTTTAGGAGATGTAACAAATGTCCTTCTTAACGGTGATATGCCATGTCCCATAAGCGACAACTGTCACACGGCATTAGATCAGCTGAGGTTGAACGCAAGTGATAGTATGTGCATGGCCATGAATCAAGATACTGTAGAACCAACATACTAACTACACTTACATGAAGCTGTAATCAAAATACCACCTGCGTTGAATTTTACCCTGAGTTCTTTGCCCGTATACATTCCTCAATACTCAATATAGAGTGTGAGAGTGTACATTCAACTCTCTCTCTCTCTCTCTCTCTCTCTCTCTCTCTCTCTCTCTCTCTCTCTCTCTCTCTCTCTCCGTTTACAAATGCTAAAGTTGATATGGACAAAAAGAACCTTCCACAGTAATTGTTCCTGATTCGAGGCAAGCATTTCAATAGAGATTATCGAATGCAGTTCCTAGTCGCCGCTGGTCTGTAGGTCGTTTTGTTTACTGCTGTTGCTGAGTCTAACTCATGTCTTATCTTGGTCCTCCTTTACTTGTGTCGTATTAAGCTCCTAAATAGCAGACTAGTGTACGTCTTAAATCCAGATTTAGTGATGTATAGTTTATTTAGCAGACCGAAGTAATGTATTTTGTCGCCCCTTGAGAAAGGAAGACGCTTTAATGCCCAATATTTTACACACCTGACTTTTACAGTTTCTCCTCTCTTCGAAGCACACCGACTATACCGAAGCTCTGATGGATTAGACCCATAACATTGTTTGGGAACCACTAGGATGCAAGGTTCCATTGTTTTGAATGCTTTTTACGAGATTAGATCATTATCATTACAGCCCGTTTATGGTGCACGGAGGTACATTGATATGGCATAATACATTTACATTCGCTACCGTTTAGTTTTCTCTGGATATATGGGCGTGGTTTGTTGGTGGGGGCGTTGGCACGCGTGTGTCTGTGTGAGCGTGTTCGAGCGTATGGATGATGTGAAGGCTTTGGCAAAGATAGAGATAGAGAGAGACAGACACAGGGAGAGCCAGAGACAGACAGACAGACAAACAGACATACAGACAGACAGAGAGGGAGAGACACCTTCGTTGCATTTGTCGAAACTAGTGGATTTAAAAACAACTTCCTGATATAACATACTGCAACCACGTGTACATCGTTCCGTGGGCAGGTACAGGGTGTGTGATACTGGATAACACCACCAGTAATGATTTATTCCATTTTTTGTCATATGACACACGTATTCTGCAACCTGTCAGTAATTTGTCTGTTCTGGAAACAGTTGCCCATCCTGCTGTTGCAAATGTTTCTATCTGTTTATTCATGAAACCCTATGCAAATGAAACAGATTAAGATCTAGCGCCAGATACTTGGAGCCAGTATGCCAAAGGACATAAGATCCGAGCCACTGGCAACTATTCCACAGGGACTGGTTATGCTGAATCATCGTCCTCTAGCAGTAACGATATTAACATTTAGTGATTTACAGACGATTCAAATGTGAATGTTGCTTGGTACATTTATCACTGGAAAAAACCTTGGTACGAAGCAAGTTATATTTTCCTTTCAGTTGTGCGAAAATGCAATCGATATAGTCTCTCTATTAAACCGCGACTCGGCAATATTGTGGTTTAATAATTTTCCTAGAATGGTCGGCTGTTGACATTAACGTCAATTATTGGAAGCTGTATCCCATTCATCAGCGCTGATTCACAACATCTCGATAATTCACTCACTTGTATGTTCATTATCAACTGGTCACAATGCAAAGATCAAAACCATGCAGGTCAGATCACACGAGACTTACACAGCGTGTGTTGTGTTAACATTTCTCTTCAAACAAGAGACGTTTTATATTCTGTGATTACTCTATTAGACTTTTTTAAACATTTCTCACAAGATCGGAAATTATGTCGAAACGTATTTCTTTTTACTTTATCTATACAAGTTTTTACGTTTGCGAGACACTTAGGTTTCATTTCATTCAATGCTTGCTTTTTTTTAAACATTGCATTACAAACGGCACCTTCTGTCACTCAACAAACGAAATTGTATTCTCAACCATCATTTGAATAACTATGTTCATATATGCTGCAGTTGATATATAGCTTTATATTTACACTGTGTAGTGCATACATGTAACAGTAAATAACACGTCCGTTAGAAACAGTCGACTGCTGTGGCTGTGGTGCTAGTCGGAGACCCGGTTGATACTGTCGACTACGTATATGATGACACTAAATCTAATGAGGGCTATGCCGAATCCATTGGTAATGCTGTACATGGGATCAACGAGCTTTTGATATATCGACGTTTTCGAGAGGGCTCTTGGAGGTCTATTCTACTTAAGTCCCCAGGACACGACTTGCTTATCTGCCACATAACTTGTATTATTTTAAAGTTAATGGGTGAGTGAGTTAAATTGGTTTAACCCCGGTTGTAACACTATTCCAGTTATGTCACTGCGTGTCATCTTTATGTTGGAGAAAAGCCCGAAGTGATGCAGGTCTTAGACGTTTACAACTTTGGTGAAACCCACGAGCACGGGTATTGTGCTCACTAGAAACATACACTGGGCGAACCGGGATTCGAACTCACAAGCATAGGTTTCTGGCGTGCCCAAGGGACGCAACTCTGGTACAGTCTAGTTACAAGCATCGTGATATATACCGACTGCACAGCGTGTTAGACGACCGGGCCACATATAGCCCCTATTAAGTGAATGGTTACTCTCATTGCACGGAGGCAATGTCTCAATTTGGCATAATTACAACAACTAGACCTAGGCCGGGATTGTGTACCTGATTAAAGGCGAACACAAATTTCATTATGTCCAACCTGTGTCTAGATATGGACTGTTTTGATGGAGGTTACCTCCCTTTGACTTATTGTGTGACAGGTGTGTCCTTTGTGTCACGTGGGCAGTGTCAGCGTTGCAGTGTCACGGACTGAGAGTTTCAATGCTGCTACAATGCCCGAGGGTGTTCACCAAGAACGAGCAGTTCTGCATTACCAGCCTTACCTGCCTGTACAGCACAATCTAAATATCAATAATGGTATTCAGATCTAATATGGTAGGTATCACACAGAGTCCAAACAAAACTGGAGCGACAAATTTATATAAATATACCACCAGATGTGAGGCTGTCACGCCCCAAAAGTAAATAAAGCGACGAAACCCTTTTTCCATATAAAGCAATGCCATCTGACACTATACTGGCTTAGTTCGATATTGAATTGAGAGTAATGGCAGCATGTGTTTAATGTGTATTGTATGTTAAGTATCCTCTGTTTCCTTCATACTGACATGGAAGGGTAGCCGACTGGTTAAAGCATTCGCTCGTTACGCCTGGTTCAATTCCCCACGTGGATACAATGTGCACCCCATGATACCACTGGAATATTGCTAAACGCGACATAAAACTTCTACTCACACACTCACTTACACAATCGTGTCGTCTATGTTCTTGCAAAGTCATCATAATGCTTTTATTTCGGATTGGTAAAATGACTTGTTTCATTCATGCGAAATGCTTCTTTCAACTCCACTCCAAGTATAACCAGTAGTTAATGTAACTGAACATAACGCTAACCTCCCCGATAGAGGTAATTAATGTGATGTGAACTGAATGACGAACATAACAGCAGCGAGCAGCTTTAACGGAATATTGTGAGATTGATTGACAAGTTTCAAGTTCAGTGTAACAAATAATAACACGTTTTACTGAACAATTTAATTCCCCCGCAGTCAATTAGGAGGCAGAAAGTGTAACCCATCGATATCACACAGATGGCTTGTTACCTTAGTTTGGGAGACAAGCACAAAATGACGCAGGTCATGGAAGTTCCATTTTTTTAAACCCACGAGTACATATTTGGTGTTGACAGATCAGTGCTCAGCACATCCCGGTATGGCTAAGGGGCGCAATACTGCATCGCGAATGGCGGCGCCATCGACCACAAGACCACCTGTTTCCAAAGTCACGTGTTTTATAGTATTATTGACTAAATATATACCGTTCTTTGTTGATTACAACATGAATCTATTTTGTAACGGATAAGCCTTTATTAAATATTACTAATCAATAAGTCATATCAAGTCATCCATGATACATTACTGATGCTCACATACACACTCAGGAAGTAATGTATTCATTACACTTCCTACCTACACCTTAAGGCGAGTATCCCTCAGGATGGTCTCGATCTGGTACCGAACTTAAGCCATGCTGCAGGCGAGCTGAATCACTATAGTTTTCATGACACAAATTGCCGCCATTCTGCAAGCAAAACGACTGTTCCTAGAACTTTAAAAAAAAGCATTGGTTACAGCTGCAAAGCTGTGCTACCGACACACTAACAATGATGACTGTGGTTACAGTCCATTATTCTCCATGGCCTTATTATCATCTAGACTAGAATTCCCAATGCCCTTTCGTGTAAAAGTAACAATTACCTTATCATTCATTAAATCGGTTTGCACAAGCCCTATTGTAATGAACAGTTAGCCTCCATTATTACCGTTGTTCCTAACCCGTGTATTAGTTAGCGAACAACAACAATTATCACCAGCTACTGGGATTCCACTATTGTACGTATGCATGCTACAGCAGTGAAGCGACTCAAGTTGCATCTGCTGTATAACCAGAGCACTGGATGCGGCACAGGGCTCTACACGCGTGTTGAACACTACCTGCTGTAGGCAGCTCTCTGTGCCCACGATGTACTTCTGGACAACTGGACAGGGGATGTTGGCGACATGGTAAAGTGTTTTATGTGCTTGCATCTGACCTTTCTCTACGGTTGTGAACTAACCGGCAGCGGATGTGACCGAGGGAGCTATTTTATTTAGTATGGATCTGTACATATTGTCGCTGGCAATCCACGGGCTGCGTGGCTTGATGAGGGAACGCTAAGGTCTGCAACTAGTACGGCGTGTGCTTCGTGAATTCAACAAATAAGAGACAACGTTCAATTAGGTCAGCGTTCTTGTAAACTCGGAATATACATGGGACTGTAGTTTCCTGGCGAGTCATCGTGTCTGTCTGCGACTACCGTCGACTCAACATTACAATGTTCCACGAAGTTAACAACAACCTGTGGAGCGTTTGAATTATATACATGACCTGCGTCGGATTAAACTCGAGCTCGATTGTTAGGTAAGTCACCGTTTTTTATACCTTTTGGTTTGGATGTACACATTCATATCCTGACATCAATAATGGTGTGTTGTCCTTCGAAATAGCACATGTTATGCTATATGTATACTCTTATTGTTACATGCATAACAGATGCATTTTATATGCATGATAACAATTACAAATCAATGTCAAAATTTCAATCATTATGTGTTTCAAATGTAGTATGAGTCAATGAACAGAATGCTCAACTGCGCACATGCGGCTTGTAGCGGACCACAATAGTACGTAACGAACTTTAAAGGCTCAATGCACGTGCTCTGAACTAAGGGTTGTATAATTGTACTCTGGGTTGACTGACTGACCTTGATTGGGTAATCTTACCCCAGCGCCACATGTGGAGAATGGCACATGAGGATGGTTATTACATGGGAGTGGAAACAACAGAGGAATGATTAATGATCGTACAACTCAGCAATATTCCAGCTATATGACGGCGTGTCTGTTAATAATCGAGTCTGAACCAGACAATCGAGTGACTGACTTTATGAGCGTATATCTACCAATTGGAATACGATTGCATGGAGCCAAATCAGAGAACCTGACCACCAGAACCCATTCGTCACCTCTTACGACAAGCATTAGTTGCTGAAGATCATTTTAATCCGTGAGATTGTCTGTCATGAAACACTATACCCACGACATATGTTTACGCATTATAATGTAGAAGTGAAACCAAATCTGAAGCAATTAACCGGATTTAAAGCTGAAATATTGACTGTGTACTTTGTTCATCTTAATTCAACCCAAACGCCTCGAATACACGCACGTAGCGCATATATTCTTTGAACCCTAAAACTGCTTATTACAGAACAATATTTGATCGCTCAGGGTACATATTTGATGTCCAAATTCATTAAATCGTAAGTCACTCATGTGGTATTAAATAAGACCCTGATCTCTCCTTGTCAATGCACAGGGTAGAAGATACCCCGCTCCTTCAGATTGTGTAGGTTAATACGTCTGATTTATTCGATGCAAGCTATTCATAGAAAACCAAGATATTTGCTATTAAATATTGATAAGCATATGTGTAAATAGAGGCTATGAGGGAGCAAGCCTGTCATTAGCGTGTAGACCGGCGTTGAGAGGGGGATTTCGGGGGAGAGAAGCATCTCAACTGAGAGCTTCTGTCAGTCGGTCGATATTACAACAATGCTTCTTACTTAGGACCAAGCGGATATGCTTGCCTGACTTATATGCCTTTGGTCATACATATGTGTTGGCTCAGACTACCGCGGTCCTTTTAAGGTTCACTTATACATATTTGATATGTTTGATATAAGAGTCTTGACGCATTGGCCCCAGTGAATCGGGTCCATCCGTTACAGTGCTTGATGTTCATGACATACTGGCTTCTTGGTAACCAATTCCACAGGGAGTGTATGCAGAGTGTCTGGTAAAGATGTGTGTGGAGATTTGGAATCATAGAGTTCTGCTATTTCGTTTGCTCTTTAACAACTGTTATGTATTAAATAACGTCCTTAGGATTTAATGTCTTGTGCAGGTTCTCATACAAGCAATATTTTGATACGATTTAATGAAATCAAGCCGTTTCTCAAACAACATTCCTGGATTGAACAGTTTGTGCAAACCACATTATAAACATCCTTTCAAAGAACCGACTTCTGATTTAACTCTCAAAGAATAAAAGCATGTGCATCTCTTCATCCATCAAATACAAAAGTCTCAACTCCTTGCTGCTTCAAAGTACATTTGAGTCAATCCCCTTGAAATAGATAATTATCATGCTGGATAATATGGAATGGTCGAATTTCAGTATAGGTCATATTTTTTTCTACTTTATTTATTTCTGTATCATCCATCAATCCATCATCCATCCATTCGCACTTGTATCTCTTTATTTATTCCCTTTGCTTCATCTATACATATCATGATTTACTATGTTTCAGGTGTTTACTATCGATTTACTTGTTTGAAAACTTAATGTCATACTAGACACACACTCTACCTAATCACCACATAGTACGCAGTGCGAATGCATTACCCAGGTTGTAAAGTCCGTCACTGCTTGCTGAGCAGAACGGGACCATGATGATAGCTTCCCGGCGGGCAAGACACGATGACCGCCAGCTGTCAGACAAGGAAATAGATATATATATTGTGGAAGTTGCAAGTGATGTAGTCTGTGACACTGACTATGATACAGAAACCAGCATTATATTGAAACAGGAAAGTTGGATCTTCCACTCAAGTTGAACATTATGTCTCCAGATATTTAGCCACAAGAAATGTGTAATTGATATTCAGTTTTCGAATTTATTAAAAAAAATCACTTTCACAGGGATGTGAATTCCACTGAAAGCGGTGAATACATATTTGTTCACACTCTGACATGTATATGAAAAAATACACAACTTTAAGGATAACAACTTCTGGTTGTTATTAACGGTACGGGTGGTCAGGCTGGCTGATTTGATTGATGCATGTCATACTATCCCAATTGCGTAGATCGATGATCAGGATGTCAATCACTGGATAGTCTAGTCCAGACACAATTATTTACAGACCACATAGGTGAACTATGGCTGAGTGCGGCGTTACACAACAAACAAACAACTTAGCGGCAATATTTGATCACAGTAGATGATGTTAGTTGTTGAAGCCATGTATGCTGAATCAAGGGATGTCACAGCATCATTGGGTGCCATTGACGAACGTCATTGTAATTAATACTATAGGCTTACTATGATTGTACTGTCATTATTCCGTGGAATTATGTTACATTCAATTTCGCCAATAATACTGCTTTTAACGCACCAGGGTGATCTATGGTTGTTCACAAAAAGACATTGCATTCTGTATTCTGTGCAAGTAGTCTCGTAAATACAGTTGTTGAATGTATTTGTTGGGTGGGTTGAAATAACCATGACGTCACTGATGTCACCAACTGGATGCCCTTCTCTTGGTGTCTTTCACATTAAAGCTGCTGCAAAGACTTTAATATTGACCATGTATACAGGACAAACAGTAAGATCTTTTGACTAAATTGTAATGATAGATAGGTATTGTGGTGTGTAAATAGGGTACACAGCTACGTTTTCATGACGTCATTTGTGACGCCAGAACACCATTTTCTAGTTGTTTCCACATGTCAGTGAATCGTTCAGTTATAACCAATTAGGTTACTCCACGCAACATTTCGTTTTAGTGTTGGTTGTTTTCAGCATTGTTAGAGGTGAAGATAGAGAAGTTTAACGCCGCGTCCAATGCAGGGTAACAACAAGTACCATATTTTATTATTAACGTCTTTTGGTATGATGTGGTCACTGCTCTACCGGTCTCCGGGTAAACGGTTTTTTGCTCGATCCACTTCACCACCGAGGTGATTAGTTGTGAGGGAAAGACACACCAAACTTTTGAAGCATCATGAGTACAGAGACTCGTATATCTGTCACAAACACCACACAAAATGAACGGAACAGATTCCAAGAGATCCATACCACACACGAATCATTGCATTCTTGCAAAGATACCACAGCGTGTTCCCGGGCCAGGCGATAGACAGATATATCAAGCGGGTAATTGGGGTGATTCAAGGACCTCAGACTGAGCCTGGTAGAATTTATCCTTCTGTGCCACTGCCACAAAGGCAAGTGATGATAATTGGAATATTAATTGATAGTCATGAATAATCAATGACTGTCAAAGCATTTCCCTAACTTTTGAAACACGTACATATAAACCCCCTGCCACACAACCCACAGCCTGCAGAAGTCTGTTTTTATGGTTAAAATCAGCATTTATCATTAACTCGACACAAAAGTCATGCAGCCAGTCTACACTGACTAGTAAATATTTTGCGTGAAAAGGTGTGATGACTTCTTTCATGAAGCGCTTTTTCTGTTGGAGTGTTGGGGCGAGAACATCATGAACTTATTATGGATATATAGTTACAAGGGCATGTCTGTGAACATCTTTGATCACCGCAACCATAGTCATAACTTCCTGGCCAGCCAGCCAGCCAACAATTACTATCGAGAAGAACATCAACAGACAAAATTCGGAACAGAATAAGAAAGTTACTTTGATGCCGAGGACCGGACTCGCTGTTTTTCCCTCGAGGTAACTGAATCGCTTCAAATGAAATTATGCACCACTTGGAAAGAAAACGCTGTAAATCAGTAAAGCAACGACAAACAGAGGCCGAATTATCTATTCAGTTGCTTGTAAATTGCATTATCCAACCGTTTTAGCCTCTCGCGTTTTTGCATAGTGCTTTAAAATGATCAATAAGTCAACGACATTCTGCCTTTTGTTTGTGCTGAATCGCAAAAATCCCAGTTGAAAAATCTTCAGTGTTTCTCAAGCGTCAATATACCAAACATGAGACTGAATCCACAGAGATACTGTGACAATTGATGCTCTTGTGTTCGATACAATCCGAAGTTTCGGGGGACAAAAACGTTTCTGTATACCGCCCGAGACGTTTCTTCGTCGTTTCTTCTTTCTGAATGTCCTGTGAACCAAAGATAGCACATTTAAGCGAACGTTTGCTAACCGACATATCAATAGCTCAAAACAAAGAACACTCGAAATAGTATCGCCATCCTTTATATGGCTATCAATTCACTTACATCAGTCCAACATAAGTTCAAAAAACGTAATTCTCAATTTTTGTTCTATTTTATTCGAATGAACTACAACTAGAAACATGGTAAGTGAAAATTATATAAAATACACATGAGGCCCAAATAAATAATTTGCTGTAAACCATACAATAGGGCTAAAAGAACCACAGCAAGATGTAGATTTGTAAGAAACTTGACGTAATAGATTTCCGTCATCTTGGTGTCAGTACGTTCACAATTTTTTTTTTAAAACAAAGAGTATAAACTCTTAGCCATATCGACGCCGAACGCCAGGGGCCCGAGTTAACAGTCGGGTGAGGGGGTGTTGCTGCTTCAAGACAAACACTTTTTTCCTCTCCGAGGAGGAGA